AGGCTAGAAACGGTGTTCAGTGATCAACCTCAACCACGCACTCAACTATGACCCCTGTTTCTACCAAAATTACATATGAAGAATCAATGGGACATATAGACAGGATACTGTCTTAGAAAAACTGAAATTGTTTGCTTATTTTAAGATGAATGAGTGATGATTTTTGTGACATATCTTTAAAATGTATGCATTTCCTGAATAGAAAATGGGGAAATGGAGAATGGAGACTGCTCTCTCCTTTGATTTGTTTTTTTATTACACTTTGGAGGAAGATTTAGCTACAGTCAAAAGAAGAAGGATGAAGGTCCGGCGCTTCAAGACTTTGAGAAGATCGAAGTAAAGGATGGCAAGAAGCAGAAGCCCCTGGATGGGGTAAAGAGGCTTACATGAAGAAGGTCAAGGGTCCTGCATCAGGAATAGTGGCTGGTGTCCAACTGTGGGTTTTCTAATCTGTTGGATTTAAAGTACAGCTTCAAATTCACTCTTGACTCAATATGGAGCAGTAGGTTTTTACATTGTTATTTTACATTTCAGAGGGAATCTGAGAGCTATAGATTCTAGTTAAACTGTGAATTAAGGGTTGTATACAACATTCAGAGTCTACCTGAGAGATTTCCTCCACATGGCTCTCACGTTGCCACACGGCTAGCAGTTAACAGTGTTTACGGTGAAAACAGTGCAAACTACGTCAACAGTGACGAAGGAGCTCACAGTGTTAACCTGAAGGAGAACCAGAGGGTGGCTGTGACATATCTGCAGACAGCTAACAGCTAGCGACCTGAGACGGTTAACACCTGTCATTGAAAGCAGCCACGCCCCTAATAATGTGTTACATTCAAAGGAGTAAATTATAAAAAAGAAAAACGCCCCATGATTAGGGAAATTAGCGAAAGAGACCAAAACTGTTTTTTGCATCAGGCTGGTGTTTGTTTCTGCTCCATTTCAAAGTCTGTCTCAATTGGCCAATCAAGGAACTGCAGTTTGTGGCACTTCACATATAGAGGCTTCCTTTCACAGCCCAAGAGGTCGCCACTTGGTAAAAAGAGAAAGAGAAGCTGTGTTTGCAACAGAGAGAGAATGTCTTACACTCGATAATAAACCAGTGGCTTTCAATTGATTTTGCTTGTAACCTTTACAGAGAAGCATTGTGGAGCTCCAACTCAAATGGAGTGTTCCCCCAGAGACACACTTACCTACAAACTTTAAACATGGTCTCATTTAAATAACTGTACAAGGTGGTCCAATTACCCAGTGTTTACAAAAAGGAAAACTGTCTGGCTGTCCAAACGTTGTTTCTTCTTTTAAACCTCACTAATCATCTCATGTGATCACTACCTGTGATTAAACCTCACTAATCATCTCATTGATTTGGATCAGTAAATTAAACTAGTGAAACTGAATTAAGTATTTAAACCTGCTCCACCTTTAACAGCAACAAAACAACTCAAACATGCTGCTTATACTATGATGCAACATTAGTAGAAACTCCTTGACATGTTAAGAACATTTAGCTAAGAGTACTTTTTTGATGGAGTATTTTGTATTTCTCTTACATTAGCACTTTTTCTTTTGATTAGTAAAAGCATGTGAATGATTTTTCCAGAAAACATTTTGCTGCCATCTGCTGTTTAAAATGAGTATGACAGCTGTTGAGTAGTGAGTACTGGTATTCCAATATGTGGTTACAGATCTTAACATACACCTATATTCATTGATAAATAAGGCTATAACTACCACTTCGTGGATACTAGTAAATCTGATTGATCATGCACTGTACTTGGATTTAATTCTGCTTGTATTTAATATTTGTAGAGCACCGTGTAAGTCAGAAATGTTGTTTTGAATGTGTGAGCATAATGAAGTATCACATATTGTAAGCAAACAAGCAAAAGAAAAGTCAACATTTGAAAGATGTTGCCAAGTATGAGTGCAGGACAGGAGAAGAACACAACTCCCATACCTCTAAGGACAAAGGGGAAATAATAACAGACTTGATATAAGAAGTTAGGGTTGTCACAGATACATTCAAATAAATCACAAATGCTTTGCTGCTTGAATCAGGGGCAAAGACTTGGCACTAAGGCACCACATTCATTATATTAAAAGTATATCCTTTTACCCGAGTCAGGTGTGCCTACATTTAAAAGAAAAGTGAGCCTTGCAACTTTCACTAGTGGACCTGTATTTATTCAAGCTTTTTTAGAAGTGATTTGTATTCAGTATGCAAGGTTGAATACAATAAATGGCTCTATTCCATGTGACCAAACAGTCTGGACAATCACAATTTCCCATTCATGTGTCTTCAACACAAAGACAGAAATTAAAAATGTTCCAAAAGGAGGCATTGTGGTCTTAGTGTCTCTGTCAGTCGGGCTGTTCGATTTGCTCCACTACAACAACGTCTGACATGTCAACAATAACAAAATCAGTTTATCTGTTGACAAACATGATCAGAAACATTAAAAAGTGAAAGACCCAAAAACAATAGTCTGTATAATTCCTCTTTGCACATGAACGCTGTGTGCATGGCTTCAGTGCTGCTATTACTGTACATCTTAAAAGGTCCCCTATTATTATTTCAACAATATATTATAGGTCTCAGATATATACAGAACCTGTCTCTGATTGGCTGAAACACCAAACAGATCATTGCAGCATCCCATAATCCCCTCTGTTTCAGCCCTGTTTCCAAAGTGCTGATTCTCTGTCTGTTACTTTAGATGAAAATAAGGAGCCACTCCCCACGCCCCTCTGAAAGATATAGGGTTAAAAAGAACACAATAGCCGCTTTCACACCAAGTACTTTGCCGTACTTAGTGCCCAGCACTTAGTACCCCCATGGAACTAAGTACAGTTCGCGTTCACACCGGAATAAGTTCCCTGAGGGAAGATTACGCAAATGAAGCCGCTGAAGTCACTTCTTCTTCTTCTGCTTTGGGTTTACTGGCAGGCCGCAAACAACTTCACGGTGTATACTGCCACCCGGAGTCCCCGGCCGGAAGTCCCCGGAGTTGGGGACTGGCTTCAGTAGAAGCTGCTGGGACTCCCAGCAGCTTCTACTGAAGCCTTCAGAGTAAATCGCCAGAACGCCGACACCTCCTCATCACTCCACCGCTCCCATGTTTTTTTTTGTGTTGCCGTAAGTTAGTCTCTCTGCGTTTGTGCACGGGGCTAATGCTAATGCTAATAATGCTAATGCCAGCAAATACAATGGCGGCTTCACAAAACTTTTCAGAGTTTTACGGGGCGTGGTTTGCAATTCGCCCAGCCAATCGAAATTGGTACTTTATTCTCCCCAGGATAGTACCACCTCTCTAGCAGGCACTACAAATGGGGGTAAAAGTTCTCGGAACTAAGTACTCTTTTTGGTGTGAACGCAAAATTCCAGGCACTAACGGAACTAAACGGGAAAAGTACGGGGAAAAGTACTCAGGTGTGAAAGCGCCTATTGGTGCTCTTGGAGGAGATTCAGGTGATAAGGTGGGGGGGGGGGGGGGGGTGTTACCTTGGTTGTTGATTGGCTAATGGTTACACAAGACAAAAAATCGTTATGACATCATAAAGTGGCCAAAATCTGATCAGCTCATTTTCAGACAGATTTTTATATAAATGGATCAGGACAAAAAGAGAGAGAATCTTTGTTCCTGAGACTTTCAGAGTCTCTTTACACAGAGGGGACACATGTTGATGTAGAAGAGACATGAAGAAGAGGGGACACAAGTGGATTTTGCACAATAGGTGAGCTTTAATGTCAGATGTGGGACTGCATGTCTCACTCTGCAAGTGTTTATTTTCTAGTCATGTTCATAACGCAGTGGTATAATATAATACAATTAGGTGTGTGGAAAAAGGAAGCTTATTGTGGTTGATAGTTGAAATCCCAGCTCATCTATTGTCAAGACTTTTCATTTAATTAAAATGTCTGTAGCAGCACAAATTAAGAAGAAAAAACACAAGAAAGAAATTAAATAAATAAATAAATTGTAGAATCAGAAACATTTGATATGGCAAATTAATCTCTCTCAATGTCGAGACAATATACGATAATTTCTGTTTCATAAAAAGTAACATACAGTGTGTGCTGTGATTGTTCGATGTAATGTGGACATTTTAGAATTAAAATCAGTGGACAAAAATCACTAAGACAGTCTGGGCTAAATAACGGGTGTGAACCATTCATGTTTGTAATTTACAAACCACATTTATGACATTGTGTAACTCAAACTGCCACACATTTATCTTTAGGAGCTAATGTAATTAAGGCACTAAATGTGTTTAAAGGAACTTTTAATGGACGTAGTACCCTTTCAATCCATCTAGAACAGGGGTGTCAAACTCAAGGCCCCGGGGCCAAATCCGGCCCGCCACTTCATTTTCTGTGGTTTCCACAAGAGCTCTGAAAGAATATAATATGTTTATTATACGGTTACATGGCGATTTACAGAAGCACGTTGCCCATAAACTACATGTCCCACAATGCATCTCAAATTTGACTTTTTTTCTCAGAATTTGACTTTTTCTTCAAAATGTCACATTTCTTTTTCTATGTCACTTTTTTTCCTTCAAAATGTCACTTTTTTTTCTTCAAAATGTCACTTCTTTTTTTGTGATTTTTTTCTCCATTGCATTACATTACATGTTACTTGTTAGACGCTTTTAGACTTACATACTCAATACTATGGACAATCCCCACAGGAGCAATTTGGGGTGAAGTGTCTTGCCCAGGGACACAACGACATGATCCGAAGACAAACGCTCTATCCACTGCGCCACACGCCTCCTTCTCCAGAATTTGGTTTTTCTTTTTAAATCATTTTGTGACATTCTCACTGAAGAGACTTGCAATTATTTGCCCTAGACTTCTGCTTTCAGACGTAGTTAATTATGAAGTTATTACCCTATCCGAAAATAATCCAATGCAGAGGCAATCATGTAATATAATGCATTATTTTATATATATTAAATATTTATATATGTATTTTGATATAGTCTTAAAGTTACAACCGGCCCTTTGAGTGCAACCATAATTCCTACGTGGCCCGTGATGAAATTGAGTTTGACACCCCTGATCTAGAAAGACCACTAAAACTGCTTGATATCATTTATATATCAATAAAGTAAATCTTATCTTACAGTAACTTCATTTGTTCTTATTATTAATTGATCCTGTAATTTGAGTAAACCAATGAAACCCTTAATCATAATTGTGCAGCTGAAAAAAGTGTATCTCGAGCCGGTTTCTCAAACTTACCTACCCTACCTTTAAATTAAGGGTTTACCAACACAATACTTCAGCTGAAGATGTGGGGGGTAGAAAAAGTAGTTTCATAGTTCATTATATCCACTATGAAATATGCACTATCCAAAATCTCTATGGCCGTTTCTGCTCAGTTGATCCTCTTATAGACGCTTTCGTTCAGACTTCAGTAAACCGTTAGTTCTCATGTTCCCATCTTAACGTTCTGCATGTAGAGTTCCCACCATGTTCTCCAGCTGCTTCTCTACATATTGTTCTATAGCTTGCGTTCCCCTGCGAGGATGCTGTGGTAGATGCAGTCTGTGAGAGGAATATAACTCTGCTGCTGTTGGTCCAACACGAACAGCAGGTCTGAGATGGAGGAGGGGTTGAAGCCGCTCTGAACCAGCTGGAACTTCTGCTGCTTGAAGGTGCTCGTCATCTCCATTTCCTCCTGAGGAACAAATTCAAGGTTACAAGGCTTTTATTGTCATGTGCACATTAGCTACAGTGTAGTTATGATAATGAAAATCTTAGGTCACAGGCTCCTCCAACAGTGCAACACAATAAAACAGGTAAAATAGTGCAAGTAGATAAAATAAAATAGAATATAATAGAAGCAGGGGCAGGTTTCACACTGACTTCTGTCATCTAAAGACATTCCTGTTTGGGCAGGTGTTTGGGTAACTTGTGTGCTTTTATTCTATTTTATTCTATGTCTTTATTGTGTTTTTAGCACTTCTTAACACGTGGCTTGTGTGGTCATTTAATATTTTATGATTCGTACGATGTTTTAATTCTCTGTCAAGCACTTTGTGACTATGTCTGGGAAAAGCGCTTCATAAATAAATTGTATTTACTTTTTTACTTACTTATGTATTTCTTTATTTATTAAAATACGTATCCGTCTTATTCTAGTATTACTAATGTGTGCCTTTCTTCACTATATTTAATACGTTAGCTTATTCTTTATTATTGCATGCCTTTATCTTTTACTGCTATGCCACTTTTTGTTGTACATTTCCTCGACTAATAAAGGAGTTCTGATTCTGATAATAGAGACAGTGCACATGCACAAGGTTTCATGGTCACCCTAAAAAAAAAGGTAATAAATAAGGTATCAATTATTATGGATCTCATACATATAAAATGTTTGAAAAGGATCCATAAAAATGTTTCACCCCGAGTTCTGTATTCATTTGTTTAACCCTCCTATTGTCTTCGTTTCCCCCCCCTTACTTTGGTGTTCACGGTCAAATTTGACCGGTCCTGTTTTAACTGCTATTACATTAACACAAAAACCATTCATCATCACCAAATTTCATTCAACACCCTTTCAAACTGTACATATTGTATCAGACTACTGGTATACATGAACAACTGCAGTACATATACAAAGAATTTACACTGAACATGGATTGCGTGTGCCAGGTGTGATCCATGTGGGGGGATGGGCACATAAGAGCGGGAAATGTGTCAAATTGTTGTGTGTGTGTGTGTGCGCGTGTGTTTGTGTGCCAGGTGTGATTCACATGGGGGGATTGGGCACATAAGGGGAGGGGAACACATCTAGTGTGTGTGTGTGTGTGTGTGTGTGTGTGTGTGTGTGTGTGTGTGTGTGTGTGTGTGTGTGTGTGATCTGATCCGGATGGTTACTAATTCCTTTTCTTTATGGCGGTCATTTTTGACCGGGAACACCATGGGTGTTACAAAGTTGACTAAATCATCCAAAACTCAATGAAAGTGGTGATCAGCATTTTTATATGTTCAAATGTCTACTGTGAAGGATATCATAAAGCCTTAATGCAATCGAATCTAAAACAAAAAAGTTATGATTGATGAAAGTAGTAAATCGGTCAGATTTGACCCGAAGACAACAGGAGGGACAGTGCACGTTAAGACATTTTGTAATAGTTATATTAAACATATATATATTATTTATATCTTAAATGTGCGGTCTCATCTTGCATTGCAGTCCTTTGAAATGGTCCTGTTTCATTCACAAGGGTGTACCATGGATGTATAATAAGAAGCTGAACCTAGGGTAAGGCACTACACTAATTGGACACTAGGTGGAGTAATACACACACTGACGGAGCATATGACTTGCTGTGGAGTGAATTTGTAAACTCATTTTAAACTATCAGGATTAAACTCAGCACACATTTACTCTCCTCAATTACAAATACCCACAATTTGTATTTTAATTAGTTCCATTTGAAGCTACTTTGGTACTCTTCCTGCACTGCAATTCAGAGGGACATATTATCATTTCTGATTCAACCTCAGCCGGGACAAAGACTAGTTGAATGTCTACGCAAAGAAAACAAAGCTTCAGTATTTTGTAAAATATCAAGTGTCCGGATAAAAAAAAGGGCAAATTAAGAAAGTGGAACTTGTTATTTCCTCAGTGTGGACATGTGCCTTTCTGAGTGTTTTTATACTTTATTTATCCCTTGCCTCTGTTGTTTTTAACACAAACTTAGGTCCAAAAACACCACATGCACAAAAAGGAGTGGACAGCGTGGGAAAGTACATTTACTGTAGGATGACTGTAAGATATTTCCATTTTCTGCTACTTTAACATCTACTCCACTACATTTTGAAGTACAAAATTATACTTTTTACTCCACAAAATGTATTAAACACTCATATTTCACTAATTGTTTTACATGATATGATATGATATGATATGATCCTGTACAGTTCTCCTCATAAACCCAGTATTTAAAGTATCAAAAAGTGTCTCAACATTGACAAAAAACAAGATTGAAATGCTATTAAAATTGTATTTGTAAGCAATAAAAGCAGAATAATATCATATTCAATTATAATAAAATACTTCAAAAAGAGCCATTGTGCCTAATGAGTACTTTTACTTTTGATACTTTAGGTACATTTAGCTTATACAGATTCTGTACTTCTACTTAAATCCATTTTAATACAGGACTGTTACTTGCAATGGAGTATTTCCAGACCAAATTATTTCTACTTTTACTAAAGTTAAGGGTCTTCTTCAAGTACTTAGGATCTCAGTATTTCCTCATGTAGGATTTTACTATACATTCCCCCACCTGAGATCATAGTGAATGTAAACAGTCCTCATCATGAAGAACGTTAATCAGTGTTACCTGAAGTCTGATGAACAGCGGGCGAGCGTACGCCGGCAGATCTCTCATCACATGCTCGAACAGTTTGCTCCCATCGAAGGAGAAGCCCGGTCTGATGATCATGGCCGCCATGCCCGCTCTGCCCTCGTGCCCTGAGGAGAAACATGAGTTAGACTTCATCAGGAAGGAGACACTTAGCTGATAATAATAATAATAATAATAATAACGTTTGTATATGTGGCACAGGATTAGGGGATGATTATTCTGTAATCGTCTGTTTGCCAGCTCATTGAGTCCTATGTTGAACCCTGAAATGTTGAGTACCCCAACGTTTTATGATAGAAATGTAGAGTGCTGAACTGCTGGATGCTAACCTGCATATGTTGGGCAATTTGCACAATTAGAATAAGTTGCCTTAATTACCATATGAAGACAATAGCTGAGTAATGGCTTGGCCGATTTGGACAGTTTTGGATTGGTTTTGAGGGTTATTTAGGATGTTGAATCCATTTCTGAGATTTTCAGGCTCAAAAATCCTGTAAAACTTTAAAATCTACCAATATTTGATCAAACTTAGCCCATCGGGAGAACAGATACGGCAACTTTCTGGTTTAAACTGCCATTTTATATATCTATATATCCTGATTTTGATGAATTATGGGTAGATTTTAAAGTTTAAGGGGACTCAAAACTGCAATTCTTTTTATCCTGAAATGTCAGAAATGGATTCAACATCCTAAATAACCCCCTTGTGCAAATTTCCCAACATACGCAAGTTAGCATCCGTCAGTTTCTATGTGCTGGGGACCCGTACTGAACATTTCTAACATAAAACGTTGCTTAACATTTCTGGGTTCACACTGGTGGCAAGTAGACTGTATGCTTTCAGAGGTTTGTAAATCTGTTTCTATAAATCTATATCAGCAGTATTTGAATAGCAGACATGCAAACACAACTGCATATCAGACATACCTTTAATTTCCACTCCATAAACGTTGACTTCATGGATAAACTCCACCAGCCCCAGAGTCTCCGTCACTTCTGTCGTTGCTACATTTTCCCCTTTCCACCTGAAACACAAGATGAGGTTTAACAGAGCACGGACTATATTATGCAGATATTTTTGCACATATTTCTCATATCTTTTTACTGTACTTCTGTCTAATTTTATAATAGTTATTAGAATACTTGTTCAAAATAGTTAGTTAACAAAGAAAAAGTATTATTATTGTTATTAGTTATACATTTTTGTTTGTTAGACCCTCTCTGCCTGATAAAGGCTTTTCCCACTCCCCAAGTTTTCCCTAGGTATTAAGGATACATGACATATCAAACATGTTGTCCAACGGTACCTGAAGGTGTCTCCCACTCTGTCTCTGAAGCTGATGAAGCCCTCCTGATCTTCAGCCATCAGGTCTCCGGTGTTAAAGTACGCGTCTCCCTTCACGAACACGTTCCTCATCAGCTTCCTCTCCGTCAGCTGCTTGCTCCCGGCGTATCCAAAGAAAGGGCTCAAAGCACTCACCTTGGACAGTAAAAGCCCCGTCTCACCTGAGAGGAAAACAGGACAGAAGGTCTAAAAACTAAATCGTTTTTATATGAAGATATTTTGTTTTTAGGCAGTTGCACTCTTACCCCTTTTCACTGTCTGACAGAAACCACGCTGATCTTTCACTGGTTCATCTTTCACCATGTCATACTTTATTAGATCATACTTGAACAGGAGCTAAACAAAGAAATAAGAGAACATATTAGATTAAGAAATCAGTTTTCATCAACCAGCCAAACAAATACAATGCAACACTCCTTTAAACAATATCCAAGGCATGACTAATATGGCATATTGTACATCTTCAGGGCGTACTTCCTGGTTATGTGTTCTGCTTAATATGCACTGCAGCTCTTCTCACTTGCACCGCCCACAAGTTCCTAAACTGCACAGACTATACATTGTTCTGATGTCACAGATTCAAAAATGTTTTATGTCTTCACCCGGCCTACTACTATGTTAGGAGACAAAATTCAAGCTAACCCTGATATCCCTTCTGCCATCTAGTGGCCAATTTGTTTTGTGTGCCCTAAAGTTGGTTCCCTTGTGAGAGAACCACAACTATGACCATAATGTGACATTTCCAAAAGACACATGGTCAATATCTCTTGCCTGGAGCAATAATACTTGAAAAATTGAAATACAATTATGTATAGGAACATAATAAGTAAGAACGTCCCACTTGTTTCCCCAGGTGGTGATGGTTAACGTTACTTACATTTACAATAGGTTAATGAAAGTTATACGTTATTTGAGTATCAATATAGTCAAGCAACTGATTTGCATGAAATAGCATGTTAGCTAACTCACTTTTCAAGAAATAGCTTGTTAGCTAACTCACTTTTCATGAAATAGCTTGTTAATTAACAAGCTTTTTAATGAAAAGCTAGTTAGTTCGAACTAGTTCGAACTAACTAGCTTTTCATTAAAAAGCTTGTTAGCAAACACACTTTAAATGAAATAGCTTGTAAACTAACTCACTTTTCATGAAATAGCTTGTTAGCTAACACACTTTTAATGAAATAGCTTGTTAGCTAACTCACTTTTCAAGAAATAGCTTGTTAGCTAAATCACTGTTCATGAAATAGCTTGTTAGCTAACTCACTTTTCAAGAAATAGCTTGTTGGCTATCTCAATTTTAATGAAATAGCTTGTTAGCTAACTCACTTTTCAAGAAATAGCTTGTTAGCTAACTAACTTTTCATGAAATAGCTTGTTGGCTATCTCAATTTTAATGAAATAGACTGTTAGTTAACTCACTTCACCTCTGTTTTCACAACAGTTTAAGAACTATAATCGGTATCATTGTGTTTTACTCTTGGGACTCCCCTGATTATTGTTATACACATTATAAACAAATAGAAGAGAGTATTACCAGGCTTTCCTCTGCTTCAACATGAACACTGACAGCTTAATCTAAGAATAACTTTTGTCCTACATGTTATAGAACTGACACTAGAATATGTTCTATAACTGTATTGTATAAGGATTTACTGCGGCAGGAATAGCAGGGAGAGATCCAAATATAGCTTAAATCAGAGATTAGAGGTAAATACGTGAACCCACTGTTTTGTAAATCTTCTAATTATCAGCTCCACAGACAAGCATTAGTGAGGCTAATACCCTCCATAACCAGGAGAAAGTCCCTTTAGGGCCACACAGACTAACAGCTTAATCAATACAACTTAACATTCAGGTCGGCATTCTTTCCACAACCTCTTTCCAAGTCTCAGTTTGAACTTTGACTTCAATAAACCAATCAGTTCATCCTTGAGTCCAAGGGAAATAGGCCAATTTATAGTCTTGAATCTCAGGTTCATGAGAATAGGACGGACGGCCAACCCTTAATGTCTAGAAAAATAATTAAATAACGTGATAAGAGTATATTATGTTATGTTTGAGGCGTTTCTTGGTTGATGTGTGTGTATTTGCTGAGGGACTGCAGCTGGAAAATAGCTAAATCTGTCATAAATAATCTCTTCTCTTTTTATATTTCATGGTCTTTGTTTAAAGTTCCCCTATTATACTGTTTATCATCAATATATTATAGATATCATCTCAGATATATACAAGTGTTTGTCTGAAATACCAAACAGATCATTGCAGCATCCCATAATCCCCTCTGTTTCAGCCCTGTTTCTAAAGTGCTGATTCTCTGTCTGTTACTTTAGATGAAAATAAGGAGCCCCTCCCCACGCCCCTCTGAGAGATATTTGGTTAAAAAGAACACAATGGTGCTCTAGGAGGACATTCAGGTGATAAGGGGGGGTACCTTGGTTGCTGATTGGCTAATGGTTACACAAGCCAAAACATCGTTATGACATCATAAAGTGGCCAAAATCTGATCAGCTCATTTTCAGACAGGTTTTTATAAAAATGGATCAGGACAAAAAGAGAGAGAATCTTTGTTCCTGAAACTTTCAGAGTCTCTTTACACAGAGGGGACACATGTTGATGTAGAAGAGACATGAAGAAGAGGGGACACATGTTGATGTAGAAGAGACATGGAGAAGAGGGGACACATGTTGATGTAGAAGAGACATGAAGAAGAGGGGACACATGTTGATGAAGAAGAGACATGAAGAAGAGGGGACACATGTTGATGAAGAAGAGACATGAAGAAGAGGGGACACATGTTGATGTAGAAGAGACATGAAAAAGAGGGGACATGTTGATGTAGAAGAGACATGAAGAAGAGGGGACACATGTTGATGTAGAAGAGACATGAAGAAGAGGGGACACATGTTGATGTATAAAAGACATGAAAAAGTGGATTTTGCATAATAGGTGACCTTTAATAAAGTCGCAATAAGTACTAAGAAAATGCATCTCATAATATTGTTTTTGACAATCTCAAAGAAACAGAAGCTCTTATGCATCATCAAGACATGTATTGGTATCCATGATACAGTAACTACACCCAGTCATCTATTGACCCCTATTGACCCCTGATGGAGGATTCCTGCTTCATCCTGGATAATACACGGCCACAGATGTCCTCTCAGACATGTACCCCTCCCCCCACTACTTACTACAGTTCACTCAGCTAACCATGTGCTCACATTTAGCAGTGAAGATGTGCCTGATAAGCAACAGTGCTGAGAGAGTGAACGTAGATTTACATATTGCATTCACAACCCCACCTGTTGGCAACTAGCAAAATGTTGTTTTAGTGGTACTGAGTAACATTATTCTACAATTTAGGTTCAGTTGATGGATGTAATATATTTCAAATGGTGTTTAAAACATGCAAGTAGGAATTACCTCACCTAAAAACCTTTATTGAATACATACAAAAAGGACTGTATGCTATTTAGAGAAGTTGAGTTGCTGAATGAATGAGCTGCTTACTACACAGTTTCCTGTCTTTCAGCTGAGGTATTTCATTCACAGAAAACTTGTTCTGGGGCTTTCTTTGTAAGCAACAGCGACCATCCAACCAGCTATTCTCTGCACTGTCAGTCTTTTCACCCTGCTAGTTTTATGCTAAGCTATGCTAACCACATCCTGTTTGCAACTTCGTACTGGACTTCATACACAGAACGAGATTAAGATTAAGTATATCCCGCTAATATTGGATGTCTCCCTCCTTTCTCTCCCCCTGACTTTCTACATGCAGCTCAAACCAGTTCACACACCGAATGAATGACTATTACACACCCAGAATTGTTTATGTATTACTCAGTATGTTCTGGTCGGCATTGGTATTTTTGACTATTACTTGTAAATACCCATTGTATGCATTGCACAGTATTTGTCGGCACGTGTCCTATAATTGCTATATCACTTAATCAAGGAATAATAAAACTAAATATGTATATTACCCAAAAAACTATCCCATTAGGGTTAAGAGATAGGATAGCCAACACTACCGTACCCTCATGCCTTGCACTTGCATGGATAACTGGAAAAACAGCATTCATTGTCACCCAGGTGTGTGAACTGGTGGATCAACAACATCACTTTTGAAAGAAACTGCTCCACCAGAGAAACGTCAACAAATAGGCGGGATAGTTGTTAGAGGAAGTCCAAGAGTCTCTGTTCACAATGATAATAAATGGCATCCAGCAATCTGTCAAAGAACACGCCCAGGTTTGAATATGTCTAGCATATTTATGGACTATGTAGGTCAGTTTGCTAAATTGTAACTTGTACCATCTCCACTAGCCAATGGGGAAACAGCAACATTTGAACAACCAATGGTGTTACTTTACGACTCCCTCTGTAAATCAGACCTTTACATTAAGAGGGTTGGCTCTGAATGCAGACCAGTTAAAACGTTCTGATTTAGAAGACAGGGTTAAAAACTGCTGAATGCGAAGTTACATGTCGACTGGGGAACCCTAAAATGTGATTGTTTATATTTTTCGTTCCGGTGTTTGTTTATAAGAGTATTATTTCATATTTCGATCAATTATGGGTTTGATTAGTAGGGTCACATGGGTAGGGCGGCCCCCATAATATCTGAATCAAGTTTATTGCCCGGTAGGTTTACACAAACAATGACTTTGCTTGACCTTTACACACATAAAATAACTGAAGTATTAATATTGATCGAATCTAAATTGACACATGCTTCATCATAAAGTGTCTTTATTGGTGGAAGTAGAGCGTAGTGCACCAAGGTGAATAAACTCACCCTGTAGAAGAAGTTGGAGCGTCCCACTGTCCCGATCTTCCCGATGTGGTTCATGAAGCACAGGTTTCCCTCCGTGGATCCGTACACCTCGCACATCTTCACGTTCCCAAAGCGACTCTGGAACTCCCTCCAGACGTCCGGCCGCAGCCCGTTCCCCACGCCCATCCGCACCTTGTGGACCATATCTCCCTCTGTCTGAGGGAGAGAGAGGGATGACGACAGGTAAATAGATCTGACAGCTGATCCTTTCTCAATGACGTGCACAAATTTACAAGAATGGAGTTCATGTAAATGGGGATGTGATGGAATATACAGTATAGGAAAGAGTCGTGCTATGCTAAGCTTACAAACTGCAGCAAGAAACAAGGTGTGTGTGTGTGTGTGTGTGTGTCTGTTTATGATGTGTGTATGTGTGTTGGTGTTTTGGTGTGTGTGTGTGTCATATTTGAATATATGCTTCCAGCTGATCTTAAAACCTCCTCAGATTTTCCCACTTTCTCCCATAGTGCAAATAAATGGATTTTGGGCTAACTGTCTTGCCAACATTAATTTGAGATGTTAGTTTATATGATTTTATATGATTGTAACCTTATATTTATATTGACAAATCTACTAGTATTTATGTTTTACACATCTTTATTTTAATTTGCGCGACCTGCAATTAAATTACTACCAACCGAAATACAATCAGTCCTGCATGTAGGGTTCCTTAGGGCATGATTTACCTCGGTTGGTAATCAAACCCCAAATATTTCCATTACAGCAAACAGACCTTAGGCGACGACTCTGAAATACAACGAAGGATAATTCTGCAGGGGGGAGAAGGTGAAGTCTGTTTACAGCACCGACGGATTAATTGTGGTCCCAACGTAATCCTCTACTAAATGATCCTCCTCTCTGATAAGCATGAGGCACTACTTTATCTTATTATACATAAAGATAGCAACGCTTTTTCTTCCATGCAATTAAAAACGACTTGCTCATTCATTGATGTAGAAATAGAACAATGTCTTCGAACAACAGCGCTCTGATTTGAGTGGAAATCCCCCCTCAGGTGTGATGTGTGTTATCTTTCTGGCCGTGTGGAAACAAAGGAAACTTTGAAGTGTGTGTGTGCTTGGCTGAGTATTATGGTATCTGCCATGTTCGCACATTGGTCACTGTGCATAATGACAGCATACAAGCATTAATTGGTGCTCATGCTTATGTGCACTTTGTGAAAAGCTGCTTATGTGTCGTACGTGTCCAAATCTCTAATTTGCCAATAAGCGGTGAGGACAGTCGCTCACACAGCCACATAACAGAGGGAGAGGGAACAAAGAGGACTTTGAGTCCAGGGAGATGAGCTCTCCCCTCACAGTGTGTGTGCGTGCGTGCGTGTCTGCATGTCCACCATGAGAGGACACAAACACTGAAACAAAGGGACTGCTTGTCTTTCTGCCACAGTTGCACACAATGTTCCTCAAACGATTCAGAAGTAGCAGAAACTGTAAAGGACTGCACAGAGAGTCGGCTTGCTGGGAGACGCACTGCTGCTTCATCTGATCTACTCTGACTCAATCACATTCATTAAGTCACATTGTATGTAGACGATCTCATATGTGGGTTACAAATTACACAAAGGAAAGCCATGTTGTGATATCAAAGTCAAAGTCAGCTTTACTGTCAAAAATTCTACATGTGTTATACATCCAGAAATATCGAAATATCGTTTCCCGCAGTCCTACAGTGTGACATGTACACATAAAACAAACAAAAAGGGCCTAGATAACCGGGGTATACAGTTTAAAATGTCAATAATATATTTAAAGTGTTCAAAGTACAGTTTCAGTGCAGTAGCAGCGGAGATGGGCAGAAAAGTGACTGGTGCTGGATGAGGGAAAGGTTGTGTGTGTGTGTGTGTGTGTGTGTGTGTGTGTGTGTGTGTAAACAGCAAGCATTGAATGGATGAAATATGGTAATAAGAAAAGAAGCCAAATGATAGAAGAAAACTTTTAGATACTTTGAAGATCAACGGTCTATCAGATTAATCTCTTCTTCCCAAACTTTACTTCATATTCACACAGAAAGAGATCCTTCTGTAAATTAGAGAATCACTGCCAGCACGTGGCACACACAAACAAGGAGACCTTAAGAGTTTCATGGCAAACCAGAGAGTTTTTCAAGGGGTATATGCAGGGGTGCACATAACTTTCTTAGTGAGTTACTCAAATGAGTACCAGGAGACAATGTTTGGTACTCAGGGCTGCCCACGCAAGGTTATGTGTTCAGCCCCTCTGTTTCGCGAACGTCGACAGGGGGGGTGTGGCTGGGGCTGTGGTATTGAACGTCGACGGGAGGGGTAGGGGTGGGCGCTAGTGGAGCACTCGCGTGGAACTCGCGCCAGAAGTTGTGGCACAATTCCGTTGTAGCCTACACACCGACGTTAACAGCAGCCCCGGCTGTGCGCACGGCGACCGGCTCTGTCGTCCAGTGATCGAAGCGCCTTCTGGAAATGCTTCACAAGTCCGCTGGTACGCAAATGCGCTTAGTGAGAAAAGTGACGATACGCATTTCAGATGTTTGCCGTGTATGCGTACCAGTTATGTGCACCCCTGGGTATATGTTCATAAGAAGGTACATCTTTAGCAACAAAGGGCCATTTGGGTGTATTATTACAAATGTTTGCAAGAAAGTTGTATATTCTTTTAATTTAAATGTAATTATGAATTTCAATAATACAGTTTTTGTATAGTTGTGTATGTATTGACGTTTCTGGACTGTGCAAGGTTTATGTCTATTATTGTTTATGTCGAGTTTTTGTCATAAAGTAGACTCGAGTGCGCAAGAGTTTAAATATCCAAAAGTGTGTTGTGTTTTTTTTTAATACTATATCCAGTTTAATAGTGTCTTTAAGTCTGCAGTGGACCTCCAATAGACATGTGGATTTGGAAGCTGTGATTTCTAAGAATAAACCCTGAAGACTTACCTGTGACTACATTGGGCCTTAGAACAATGTACATTTGATAAACAGCCACTACAAAACTGTTTAGGTGCTGTACGTACGTCAATGCAGAGACAGACATGAGTTTATTAACACTCAAACAGCAGCTCACCGGAGGCTGGTTGCAGAGGTATCTGCAGAGTTCACCGATATACTGGAAAACAGTCACGTCATATTTCCTGCAGTCGTTCCAGAACTGGGAGGCAGAGAACTTCTTCTTCAAGATGCAGGTAGCGCCTGTGGAAAAACAACAGTCAAAAGGGTTAAAGGTTTTCCTGCTGCCGTCATCATTATTTACAAAGCATGCTTTTGAACAAAGTTGCACATCATTATCCTCCAATATCTTTAAAGGTCCCCTATTATACTGTTTTTCATCAATATATTATAGCTCTCAGATATATACAAAACATGTCTCTGAAGTGTTTGGCTCCAAACACCAAACAGATCATTGCAGCATCCCATAATCCCCTCTGTTTCAGGTCTGTTTCAAAAGTGCTGATTCTCTGTCTGTTACTTCAGATGAAAATAAGGAGCCCCTCCCCACGCCCCTCTGAGAGATATTTGGTTACAAAGAACACAATGGTGCTCTAGGAGGAGATTCAGGTGATAAGGTGGGGGGGGGGGGGGGGGGGGGGGGGTTACCTTGGTTGCTGATTGGCTAATGGTTACACAAGCCAAAACATCGTTATGACATCATGAAGTGGCCAAAATCTGATCAGCTCATTTTCAGACAGGTTTTTATAAAAATGGATCAGGACAAAAAGAGGGAGAATCTTTGTTCCTGAAACTTTCAGAGTCTCTTTGCACAGAGGGGACACATGTTGATGTAGAAGAGACATGAAGAAGAGGGGACACATGTTGATGTAGAAGAGACATGAAGAAGAGGGGACACATGTTGATGTAGAAGAGACATGAAGAAGAGGGGACACATGTTGATGTAGAAGACACATGAAGAAGAGGGGACACATGCTGATGTAGAAGACACATGAAGAAGAGGGGACACATGTTGATGAAGAAGAGACATGAAGAAGAGGGGACACATGTTGATGTAGAAGAGACATGAAGAAGAGGGGACACATGCTGATGTAGAAGACACATGAAGAAGAGGGGACACATGTTGATGTAGAAGACACATGAAGAAGAGGGGACACATGTTGATGTAGAAGAGACATGAAGAAGAGGGGACACATGTTGATGTAGAAGAGACATGGAGAAGAGGGGACACATGTTGATGTAGAAGAGACATGAAGAAGAGGGGACACATGTTGATGTAGAAGAGACGTGAAGAAGAGGGGACACATGTTGATGTAGAAGAGACGTGAAGAAGAGGGGACACATGTTGATGTAGAAGAGACATGAAGAAGAGGGGACACATGTTGATGTAGAAGAGACGTGAAGAAGAGGGGACACATGTTGATGTAGAAGAGACGTGAAGAAGAGGGGACACATGTTGATGTAGAAGAGACATGAAGAAGAGGGGACACATGTTGATGTAGAAGAGACATGAAGAAGAGGGGACACATGTTGATGTAGAAGAGACATGAAGAAGAGGGGACACATGTTGATGTAGAAGAGACATGAAGAAGAGGGGACACATGTTGATGTAGAAGAGACATGAAGAAGAGGGGACACATGTTGATGTAGAAGAGACGTGAAGAAGAGGGGACACATGTTGATGTAGAAGAGACGTGAAGAAGAGGGGACACATGTTGATGTAGAAGAGACTGAGAAGAGGGGACACATGTTGATGTAGAAGAGACATGAAGAAGAGGGGACACATGTTGATGTAGAAGAGACATGAAGAAGAGGGGACACATGTTGATGTAGAAGAGACATGAAGAAGAGGGGACACATGTTGATGTAGAAGAGACATGAAGAAGAGGGGGACACATGTTGATGTAGAAGAGACATGAAGAAGAGGGGACACATGTTGATGTAGAAGAGACATGAAGAAGAGGGGACACATGTTGATGTAGAAGAGACATGAAGAAGAGGGGACACATGTTGATGTAGAAGAGACATGAAGAAGAGGGGACACATGTTGATGTAGAAGAGACATGAAGAAGAGGGGACACATGTTGATGTAGAAGAGACATGAAGAAGTGGATTTTGCATAATAGGTGACTTTTAAATAGATAATTTGATATGTGCTGTTATTTCTTCATAAAATCATCAAACAGAAACATAACTTACAGAGTTCCTTTCATATGATAGGGTAAATGAATGTACAAAAATACATTGAATTGAATAAAAAAAAAAAACAGGTCAATAGTATTTACGTGCATTTATAAAGCACCTTTCTCTTCTTCCAACCTCCCAAAGAGCTTTTACACTGCATGCGAACATTCCCTCATTCACACACACATCCATACGCTGTGAGCACTGTGCTCAATGAGCATTTTCAACTTTGACATCAATTGTTGTTGACCTTTCCACGTCCAACTAATCACATTACAGCTGTCTGAAGCTAGCAGAGGAGGGAACCATGGAACAAATACGTAACAAGCTGCTTTTAAATCGTAAGCCTCTGCACTCTACCTTGCATTTAGCAAACAGCAAATTCAAGTATCATGTGAAGACAGCTTTACATTTGAAGCGCTCTTCAAAATAAATCACTACACGGTCAATATGGAGAGGGGGAATGACCCGTCCAACATTGATGGCATGTGAGAACTGTATTTTGACTTGATGGAAAGCATATCAATCGTTTTAAAAGTCAACTCAAACAATGGTTGAGAAACAAACAGACGTGCGATCACCACTAAATCTACTTTAATACAGGGGTATCTTCTCTTGCATTTTATGTATCGATGCTGCTATTTTGTATTACCATTTCCTAAATACTTGGGTATTCTACGCTTACACTTTTCGTTCATTTTATCCATTTGTACTGCTATGTTTGTAATTTTCATTTTCTTAATGTTTTACGTGAGGGACTGCGGATGGAGCTCAAAGCTAAATCCGGCATATTTACACTTGGCATATTTCATGTTTTAAGTATTCATTAATGTGCAATGTCCCTGCCAAATAAACAAATACATAAATAAATATCCACATAGAACCACAGGAGTGTCGGACCTGCAGATTGGTTCCTGGCCTGTAGGAGGGAACCTCTCTCTGGCAGGTTTAATAAAGTGCATTTCAACATCTGCAGTAACAGGACACTGGCCTCACCAAGGTTTGTTAGAACAAACTGGAGAGATGGTTATCTCCACCAGTGAGGGGTGATGAACTGTCAACTTTAGTAGCAGTTGGAACACAAGCCAAGGATTTATCAATACAATGGCCAACTACGAATTTGTTGCTTTTCCAAAACCATTTTATAACTGTAACATCATATTTTATACTTATTCTAGATCAGTGTGATACTACTGTGATGTTACCCTAGACCAAATATGAAAGCTGTCCATTGTATAAAAGAGGGAAAACAGAAACAATAATATTTTACATAACAGTGTCCAGTGTCTTGCTCTAAAGCCTCCAATTAAGCGGCTAGTTGGAGTGAAACAGTGATGGTCCAAGAGGTCACGCTGATGAGAGGACACTGTGCTTTTGACAGGAGGTTATATAACTCATCAATTAAAAATGATATCAAAGCTTAAAGTGGACCTATCATGCAAAATGCACTTTTGTATGTCTTTTATACATGAATATGTGTCCCCGGTGTTCCAGGGAACTCACCAAGTGTCAGAAAACACAACCCTCTCTATTTTCCTCCATACCCAAATCTCTAAAAAAGGGGCTGCAACGGATCTGATCAAAACTGATCCAGATTTGAACACTGTCCTGACGTCAGGACGGTGGCGCTACGGCTATTGGGCCAACTCCACCAATCAGGAGGAGACAGCCACGGCCATTGCCGTTCGAAAGCGCTGGAGACGTTGTAGTACATATGCCAGGCCTGTAGATGGTGCTGTTCTCATAGAATCTGCCCTTACAAACACAGAGCTAAAAAATGTCAAATTGAGCGAAATGAGGCATGGCTAAAATGCATGATCTGTTTGGTATTTTGCACAAAAAAAAAGTATAAATATGCCTTATATAGGTATGGTCCTACACTATATTATTCAAATATAGCATGATAGGTCCACTTTAAGTTTCTATTAGTATCAGAGCTATTATTAAGGGTCTCGCTGATGTGTCAGCTTGCTTCAAATTGCAGTACTTAGTTACTTCTCCATGTGTAGATTTAATCGACCACGTAAAGAATGCAACGAACAGTGATGAAAAAGGATGATTATTAAAAGGTGTCCTATCATGCAAAATGCATGTCTTTTATACATAACTCTGTGTCCCCGGTGTGTCAGGGAACTCACAAAGTGTCAGAAAATAAAACCCTCTCTTTTCCTCCGTACCCAAATCTCTAAAAACGGGGCTACAACGGAGCTGATCCAGATTTGCGTCCGATATGACGTAATATCTGAAATGTGGACGCACGGCCCTATCAGAAACAATGCCCTTAATATATGCCTAAAAATAGCATGATAGGAAACCTTTAACACATATGTAGAGGCCTACCCAGCTCTATGGTTCCTCCGATCCCTATGAGGGAGGCTGCGCTGTGGTAGAGCGGCAGAGGGATGTAAATCACGTCATCTTCAGTCGCTCCAAACGCCCAGAACCCTGCTGCTCCCTTCAGGCTCTGCAGGTGAGTGATCACTGCAGCCTTAGGGAGCCCTGGGAACAAGACAAGAAGCTGTATTACATGATGTGAACAAGACAAGAAGCTGTATTACATGATGTGAACAAGACAAGAAGCTGTATTACATGATGTGATCAAGACAAGAAGCTGTATTACATGATGTGAACAAGACAAGAAGCTGTATTACATGATGTGATCAAGACAAGAAGCTGTATTACATGATGTGATCAAGACAAGAAGCTGTATTACATGATGTGAACAAGACAAGAAGCTGTATTACATGATGTGAACAAGACAAGAAGCTGTATTACATGATGTGAACAAGACAAGAAGCTGTATTACATGATGTGAACAAGACAAGAAGCTGTATTACATGATGTGAACAAGACAAGAAGCTGTATTACATGATGTGAACAAGACAAGAAGCTGTATTACATGATGTGAACAAGACAAGAAGCTGTATTACATGATGTGAACAAGACAAGAAGCTGTATTACATGATGTGAACAAGACAATAAGCTGTATTACATGATGTGAACAAAACAAGAAGCTGTATTACATGATGTGAACAAAACAAGAAGCTGTATTACATGATGTGATCAAGACAAGAAGCTGTATTACATGATGTGAACAAGCCAATAAGCTGTATTACATGATGTGATCAAGACAAGAAGCTGTATTACATGATGTGAACAAGACAAGAAGCTGTATTACATGATGTGAACAAGACAATAAGCTGTATTACATGATATAATCAAGACAAGAAGCTGTATTACATGATGTGAACAAGACAAGAAGCTGTATTACATGATGTGAACAAGACAAGAAGCTGTATTACATGATATAATCAAGACAAGAAGCTGTATTACATGATGTTTTTTTAAATTAGCATACTTTCTCTCTGCGTTTCTGCCATGTTAGCTCCAATGCTAGCATGGGGAGGGGGTGCATACACTGGCCATGTCGATGAAAATGTAACATGTCATGCTATAGAGTGGTGCAGTGATGATGTATTTTTATAGTCCAAGCTGGAAGTTAGCATCTTGAGGGATCACTTGACAAAAAGCAAGAGGGTTTTTCCATTGGATTTTGGAAGAATAGCAGAAGATAAGGCAGAAACAAGTTTATGATACTCAGCAGGATACTCTCCACATGTCAACACCACTTTTAGTAATTTTTTTAGCGTAAAAGCAATAGCAAGAGGTAAAAAGCTAACGCCAGGCTATAGAGTGGCGAAGTCACGCCCACTTACTTCCGACCCATGGGACCTTATTTCGGAAAAATTATGCATTGAAGTCAATGGGGAGAGAAAACTTATCTTTCGATCCCGTTTGAATTGTGCCATGAATTACACATATGATGTTTGTCAATCTTAAAAAATAATTTCCATGTCAAAAAAGTCACAGTTTGTCATAAAACTGTTGAAATATAAGACTATGAAAAATACGTAACTAGAAAGACTACAAATCCCAGAGTCGCGTAAGTGATGTCACAATTGTTTTCCTCCACCATTCAGATACCTAAGATCAGCGCAATATAGATATAATCTATCTATATCTCTTTTCTCACCAAAACCTCCTAATGAGTTTGGGTTTCCCTGAGCCTTGCATCGGGACAGTATGCCGATCAGAGATTGATTGATAATGAAGGATAAGAGCGAACGTTGACCTGTGGCAGTTCTACAGCCTGGTCCAGAAGATTGGACGGACATTCCTTTGCCTTTAAGAGACGGCTCTCCATGTTTCAGAAACACTTGTTACCTTCTGAGCATGGGAGACCCAAAAAAGGACAGATAAAAAAAAAACTGAGGGACGTTTTGGATCAATACAGAATTCTAAATAAAGATGGCTTCCATTGTGATAACAACCGTGAGCACTCGAGAGCGCAGAAACACGCTCCTTGGATGGAGGAAGCTTGAAGGTTGTTCAGACGTCTGTGTTCAACATACTGTAGACACTTCAAAGAGTTTGTGTTGTATTTAATCACTGAAAGCATTTTAAAAACATGATAACTGTTGCAAACTGCTCCGACTTGAGCGAATGTTCCTTTACAATCGGGAACTAATGCTCCATGCTGTAGCGATGTAACCAAAAGTGAAACACAGTTCATGTATCCACTCAGTGTTAGGATCCATTCCGACTTTTTGGAATCAGGAGAGTAGATGAGTAACTTGTAATCCTGTTGACAGACAGACAGTAACTAACCCAACATAACCTCCTCCTCAGAGGTAATATCGCACCACATCCACTCTTATCAGTGTCTCCGTGTTCCTGCTCTTCCATGAAACCCTCTCCTGTTGGTGGGGTTGTGCTGAGGACAGCGGCCCTGACCAATATCATGCTTGTTAGTTTGAGTAATGATCTGTCAAAAAAGTCACAGTTTGTCATAAAACTGTTGAAATATAAGACTATGAAAAATACGTAACTAGAAAGACTACAAATCCCAGAGTCGCGTAAGTGATGTCACAATTGTTTTCCTCCACCATTCAGATACCTAAGATCAGCGCAATATAGATATAATCTATCTATATGGCCAGGGTTGCCAACTCTCACGCATCTGGCGTGTGACACACGCTTTCACTCTCAACCTCACGCTCTCACGCTGCCCAAACTATTCTCACGCCAAAAACAAGAATACCGAAGACTAGAAACGGTTTTCAAAACTTTTGTCACGTAGTGATCGTCTTCTCAATAGAACATCTTTGATAATGTCTTCTGGCCAATCAGAATCACGATAACGGCGTGGTGTTGTTGCAGGAAGTCCGGACGGAGAATACTTTTGCGGTAGGACATCTCTATACATCGAAATAAGACCCCACGGTTTGATGATTGATAGGTGTGTGGGCTGTCTTTCATTTTGACACACAGAACAATGGGGGCTATCCACCCTTATCCACAATGTAAAGTAATTCACACAGCCTCTTCCCTCTTCTCTCTCTGAGGAGCAGCAGGTTCAGCTTTCAGAACAAAGTAACAAAAAACTAAAATGGCATTCATTTTTTTAAATATGTCGTGTGGTAATAGATTTATTTATTTTTCTTCTCAAGAGAGTACCAGAATGTGTATTTGATGTTAGTATTTAAAAAAATCTCCTGGGGGAGAATCCCCCCAGACCCCCCTGCAGGGGTTGGGTCTTCAGCATGTCAACTCTTTCACTTGTGGGGAAATTGCAGGATTGGCTCCAGGTCGCCCTTTTTATTTACTACAAGACAAATGTGCCTTTTTATTTCATACAGTTCAATTTGGATTGAGACAGGGAAATGATCTAAACCTCACGCGTGGCGTTTCACTGTCGGGGGGAGCGTGTATGTAATTATATTGCAAATACTGACTTGAGCCCCACCACTATGGGTTAGCCCTACCATAGATTACCCAACAAAAATACTCTGGAGCCGCAACTGCCGACCCGTATTGCGCATGCGCAGATCTAAGATCCAGTAGAAATGATAAAAAAGTAAAAGTCTGCTGCTTATTGTTCTACTAGGCCAAAATAGAGTCAAAGAGTATATGAGAGTGAGAGTGTGTTAATTAATATATTTGGCAGTTTGGAGTAAGTCTGTAGATTTGTTTGTGTGTGTGTGTTTCATGTATAGGCCTCTCACGATAATTAATTTTGTGGATACATTTTCCCGGAAATTATTGCGATAAACGATAATATTGTCGGCACCGTTGTATGACCATTTTTGACCACTGACATAATGATAATATATAATAATAATTAAAGTACATCCTTTCAAACTGCTAGTCACATCCTCATGTAAATGGCAATTTATCGAGGTCAGAAAAGTTATCGAGTTCATTTTTATTTATCGTACGATAAGTCAATTAATTGCTTATCGCGACAGGCACACAATAAAACAGTGGAAACAAACATGTTTGACTTTCATTAGTGAATGAAACTGTGTGCCCTTTATAATCTGTGTCCATTATTGTGTATTTGTATATATTGTATATATATGCTAAGGTCTCGCTGCTGACACGATAGCAGTCATTTCATGCGCATATGTGTAATTAAACCGAATTAAACCCATGATATCAAAATCTCACTCCAGCCAGGTACCCAAAGTTGGCAACCCTGATATGGCGCTGGCTAAGATAAGATAACTTTAACAAGATGCCTGTGTGCTTAGTACCAGGTTGTTATTATACCAGCAATGGGTCTTGCTCGTTCTTTTGCTTCCCGTCTGATGAAAGGACCAGGAGTGGCTTGATCAAGTTAGCTACCTAGCTAGTAGCTAGCACGTTAGTTAGCATTACAGCCTTGTCATTTTTATTAGCCTTAACATGAAGTAACATTAAGTAACCCAAAATGTTAAACAGTAAGAGTAGTAGTCATATTTCGTGAACCCTTTGAATAGTACTGTCACCGGTGTGATCATTCTATAATACACCATTTAAGCCCGGGGGAGAAATGCTAACGCTAACGTTAGCATCGGCGATCTTCTCTACTTCATGCTATCTGCACAAATGGTTGACATTAAACATTAAAACGACCAGGCAGTTCAGAGAGAATCAAAGGAAGGCAGGCAGGCAGCTTTGCATGACATTCTTCAGGACGTGTTTCATTGTGGTGATAGTGAGGATAGTCAATCGTTGTGTTGACAAGACAGTAGTGACGGCCATCTTGGTGACGTGTGTTGTTGACCAGAGATGTAGTTCATTGAGCGTTTCACACAAACAAATGTGTTACTTCACAGTTTTACGACACATTTTATTTTTTTTGACTTGCAAAATTATCTTTTAAATTGACAAACATCATATGTGTAATTCGTGGCACAATTCAAACGGGATCGAAAGATAATCTTTCTCTCTCCATTGACTTCAATACATCATTTTTCCGAAATAAGGTCCCATGGAGGTCCACCGGAAGGGGAGGGACTTCGCCACTCTATAAGCAAACTACAGAGCGGTCACATGACTGCACGTCACCACCGCTAAGCTAAAGGTGGCTAATGTTCAGTGTGATGACGTTTAGTCGTCTCATTTAGCAGGCTCTGTTTTTAAGACACATAGAAGCTTCAGACATTCACCAGTGGGGTGTTTACTGACATATTTTATGTCGTAAAACAGCACATGAAATTCTGAAACTTGTGTTAACCGCAGACCTTATTTATCAGTCGTTTATTTTCCGAGGAACCTTGAGAACCATCCAATATAATTCCAAAGAAATTAGGAATGAGACCCCTCTTGCAGTGATGGTTTACCATCATTTCTCCCATAGAGGTGAGAGTAGGCCTGGATAAGGACTGTTGCGTCTTGAATATGACACTCCTGATCTGTAAGAACTTGAATAGGTATCCGTTGCAAATCTTGAAAAGAAATATTAATATTTTTATCGATTTGCAACCTTTCTCTCTTCCCTGTGTTTTCCTCACTGTGTGGTAAAGACCCTCTTTAGGTCACAGTGATGTTCATGTGATAAAGATGGTGAATTAACAAGAATCAAAGCCCTCCTGTTCTGACTGACGGATGACGTCCAGCGGAAACAAGCTTTCATTGTCATTCTGAAAAGCCTCATGCCACTGTAAAATCAAACCGGGTTTTGGGCAAATAAATGACAGGGATTTCCCAAATTGTGAATGAAACCATATCAAGTTCATGTTCAAGGTCAAGTACTAAATGATAAGTCAGAGAAGGTGAATCAGTGTTAAAACGTATCAGCATTTTAAAGTGACTGCTGTGTTCAAGTCAAGGGTTTACACAGGGGAGAAGTGTCGGGCCCCCCAGGAGAAACTGGAGATGTACAGTGTCACCATGACAACCATAACAAACACAGGCGGCTATATGGAGGGATTTCATGCAAAGAAACATTATGAAGTTAGTTACATGAAGTAATCAGAAATCAGACTTAATGAGTCCAACAGCGGGAAAATGTACATCGTTACCACAAATCGCTCCAGATGGAAACCCAACGTGAATGTGTGTGTGAGTGTGTGTGTTAGTGGCATCGTATGGCAGCCTCTGTAGGAATGTGTGTGTGTGTGTGTGTGTGTGTGTGTGTGTGTGTGTGTCACCGTATTGCACCCTCTGTATCAATGTGTGTGTGTGTGTGTGTGTGTTAGTGGCACCGTATTGCACCCTTTGTAGGAATGTGTGTGTGTGTGTGTGTGTGTGTGGCACCGTGTGGCACCGTATTGCACCCTCTGTAGGAATGTGTGTGTGCGTGTGTGTTAGTGGCACCGTATTGCACCCTCTGTAGGAATGTGTGTGTGTGTGTGTGTGTGTGTGTGTGTGTGTGTGTGTGTGTGGCACCGTGTGGCACCGTATTGCACCCTCTGTATGAATGTGCGTGTGTGTGTGTGTTAGTGGCACCGTATGGCAGCATCTGTATGAATGTATGTGAATGCTGAGGGAGAGAAAATACAGAGATTTAAAATGTGACTTCTTCTTCTTCTTCCCGAGCGGTACAGGAAACTCACCAGTGGTTCCAGAGGTGAAGATGTAGAGGGTGGGGGCTTTTAGGGAGGTGGTTGCCCGTAGCGATGCTGGCACCGGCTGCTCTGAGGCGGCCTCTACCTTATCCAGCAGCGTGTGAACGTGTGTGTGTTCAGTGTGGCTCTTCATGGCCCACACCTGGATGTTTTCCTCCTGCAGGCTGCTCAGGATGCCGTTCATACTGTCCACCAAGTCTGGGAGATGGAGAGAAAAAAAACTTTTTTATTTTTCCTAAATTATTCCACTTAACTTCTATTCAACATGTGCATTTTCACATTAATTTGTATTGTACAATGCCATGTCTTTTTATGCTGCTGCAACACAAACATTTACCAACTTGGGATCAATAAAGTACCTCTTATCTTATCTTAAATTGTGCTCACCCTGCATGATTTGGGAAAAAATGACTACTCATGAAACTTCACTATCAAATTATTAATAAGAATGTGGGAAGTCTCTCTCTCTCTCCATCAAACCATCATCTCTTGAGTTCGTTTTTTGGTGAGATACATACAATCCACGAATACAAATCTCTTTTCTCACCAAAACCTCCTAATGAGTTTGGGTTTCCCTGAGCCTTGCATCGGGACAGTATGCCGATCAGAGATTGATTGATAATGAAGGATAAGAGCGAACGTTGACCTGTGGCAGTTCTACAGCCTGGTCCAGAAGATTGGACGGACATTCCTCTGCCTTTAAGAGACGGCTCTCCATGTTTCAGAAACACTCGTTACCTTCTGAGCATGGGAGACCCAAAAAAGGACAGATAAAAAAAAAAACTGAGGGACGTTTTGGATCAATACAGAATTCTAAATAAAGATGGCTTCCATTGTGATAACAACCGTGAGCACTCGAGAGCGCAGAAACACGCTCCTTGGATGGAGGAAGCTTGAAGGTTGTTCAGACGTCTGTGTTCAACATACTGTAGACACTTCAAAGAGTTTGTGTTGTATTTAATCACTGAAAGCATTTTAAAAACATGATAACTGTTGCAAACTGCTCCGACTTGAGCGAATGTTCATTTACAATCGGGAACTAATGCTCCATGCTGTAGCGATGTAACCAAAAGTGAAACACAGTTCATGTATCCACTCAGTGTTAGGATCCATTCCAACTTTTTGGAATCAGGAGAGTAGATGAGTAACTTGTAATCCTGTTGACAGACAGACAGTAACTAACCCAACATAACCTCCTCCTCAGAGGTAATATCGCACCACATCCACTCTTATCAGTGTCTCCGTGTTCCTGCTCTTCCATGAAACCCTCTCCTGTTGGTGGGGTTGTGCTGAGGACAGCGGCCCTGACCAATATCATGCTTGTTAGTTTGAGCAATGATCTGTGGTCCTGTCACATGGTCGCAGCGTGGGGAATCTATTAACTGTCGAAACAGGATTCTTCAATGGACCATGGGAGCAAGCTGAGTATGAGTCTGGGAGTTTTCAGAGTTTTTTTTAATCGTGCAATCACTCACTTAAACTCCAGACACTCACACTGAAGTGGATTTAATGTTGGTCTTATGTGTCCATAGGCAAAAACTAAACTTTCAATAAATAGTAAATACTAAAACTTGGTCAGGTGCACAAGTTGATGGAATTTAAAGAAAGATACAATAAAAACTAGAAAAATGATTGTGCCATACAATAATATACTGAAAAGTGCACATCCACGGGAGTTTTTTTGTTATTGTCTTAGGACTAAGGCAAGTGGTACTGTCATTAAGTAAAACTTGTACTTTACTTGAGTATTTCTTTCACATTATACTACTTTATACTTTCACTGCACTACATTTTGTACTTTCACTCCATGTATTTTGACATTTAGTTACTTGTTACCACGCAGAGGGTATTCATACAAAAAGTAATTCCGCACATTTTACAATAGATTATTATAATAGGTTAAGATACCCAGTGGTTCATAAAGTAGATCAAATAAACCCCATCTTTACCAAGTGCAACACTGAAGTGATGAACACAATAATGCACCGATTACACAATACATGTAAAATATCTGCTGCTAAAAATGGCTATTGTGTATAACGAGTATTTTACTTTTGGTACTTAAAGTACTTTTACTTAAGTACAATTTTGAATGCAGGACTTGTACCTTTACCTGAGTATTTGTACACTGTAGTATTGCTTAGCTTTTGCTGAAGTAAATAATCTGAGTACTTTCTCCACCTCCATGCTGTAATTCCTTAAAGCTCCCTGAGTACAATTTCAATGTGTGATATTAGTCTATATAAATAAAATGATGTGGATGTTGAGAGCCTCAGTGCCTGGTGCTGCTCAGGTGTGATGATGAGAGACTTTTACCTGCACCAACTATCAGAGTTGTGGCTCCACAGCAGTTCACGCAGTGCAGCAGAGACTTGGATTTGATGTTGATGTTCAGGAAAGCCACGGAGCATCCCACCTTGGCCAAACCGAACCAAACGCACAGGAAGTCGGGCTCGTTGCTCATGAGCAAGGCAATGCATTCTCCTTTCTTCAACTTCACGTCCTCCAGGAACACATGTGCCAGTCTGTTGCTTCGCCTCTCGATGTCCCGGTAGGTGTGCACGCTCCCCTCGTAAATGACAAAAGGCTTGTCCGGCACGCGCTGCGCCTGCTGGATGAACCTGTCCAGCACCGTGTGCACGCGGGATCTCAGTTTAAACAGCTCCAGATTCACCCCGTATCTCATCACCCTGAGCAGAAACATAAGGTCCCTCCAGAAGTATGGGAAGCAGAGTTTCTGCAGCACATGAACCGAGAAAAACCCCGCGATCAGAGCTGAGAGACATCCCAGAGAGGGCGTCATGTCTGCGGCTGTGGGACGGATAGAGGACCCGGTGGAGATCTGCTGATGGAGCCAGGTTACACCATAGAGTTATATACACACACAATGTCAGCGTGATGTAACCCAGGAGGAGTAGTAGTAGTAGTAGAAGGTTAAGCCACACAACAGCTGACTGGATAAAGAGACATGCTGCCTTCAAAATAAAAGAGGATCATGTTGGGTAACAGGGAGAATACGGAAATACATGGGCTGTTATAGGACATATATTTGTTGTTATTAGTTTTTTACTCAAAAATATGTTAAGAAACAAAATACAAAGAACATTTGGCTGCATAACTAATGTTTTTATTACCCCAAACTGCATTCAGGTCAATTGTAAAGTGAATAACTAAACTAGAATTGGAACTAAGTCATAATTAATTAAAACAATAATGGTATTTTATGTTTTTTGTGTGTGCATTATCACTATACTGAATTGAAAAAGTGTAAATCTTGAACACTGTCTTTGTCCGCGTCCTCCAGCATTAAATAGGCCTCTAATTCAATAACAGGCCCCCAACACCAGTAAAATAATTCTAGAACCGCCATTGCTGAAATAGCCTACAGTGTTAAAAACAAGTGCTACAGAAATGGGGAAAAAGCGTATTACTGCAGGACAGGAGGGAGGGGTAGGGTCTGTGAGGACATGGATCGTTAGTATGGAAGTAAAACAGCATGAACAATAGAGTAGGATGACTTGTTACGAAGACACATCAGGCCACCAGAAGTTCCTTATAGGACTCTATTAAAAAGTGAATCATTTGATCACCCCCCCCCCCCCCCCCTGATCACTTGGGGTCATGAGCATGTTCCCTGTGTGATGGTTTTATAATCCATTGTGATAATAATAGACCTGACACAAAGTAGACTGATTTGAAGCAGTTGCAGAGAGGAAAAATAGACTTAATGTTGTTAAAGTGTTTATTTACAGTACAGCAGTATTTGCCCCCCACACTAAAGACACTTACTTGTATCTCCTTTAGTCTATGATATGTCACAACAACAACAAATCCCCAATATTAAAATATATGCTATGAAACCCACATCTTGACAAAGGTAGAGATGATCATTAAGTACATTATAAATGTTTTTTTAATCAGCTTTATCCCTCTTTTGTAAGCATTTCATAACGTTTTATTTTGAAGGGTAGACTAACTTCCGGTATGGCTGGTTCCTGAAAGTAACTTTGTTGAAGCGTCCTCACGTAACAGTTGTGGGAGTGTCGCGAGGTGTTTTCCTCTTTTTAAAAGTCTGAAAACAGAGAGGCTGTTGTGGCGGTGAATTTCGTGGAAAAAACAGGGGGTTGGGTAACAGCAGCTGGGGGATTATTTTGGAGGAAAGGTTACTGTTAATATTTCTGAGATATATATATATATATTTCCACTCATGGTATTTATTATAAAACAAGACATGTAGCCTACCCTTTAAGCAGTTTGTTGTAGCCCATGATGGAAAGGAGCATGGGGAAGTCTTATTTGACCCCTTAAAGTGGACCTTTCATGCTATTTTTAGGCAATAGCATAGGTCTCAGATATATAAAAATATATTAAAAACATGTCTATGAAGTGTTTTGCTCAAAATACCAAACAGATCACCCATTCTAGCCATGCCTCATATAACTCTATTTCACTTCCTGTTTCAAAAGTGCTGATTTGGGGTATAAAGCTTTAAAAAAAAGAAAGAATTGATACATAAAAAGGAGGGGTCTGAGCTCATGCGGGACCCGGCAGCTACTGTCTAAACTAAATACTGCCGTGATGAAACGCCATATCATGGATTATCAAGGATTATTTCTGAAACAGTATGGAGCTCAAAGGCTTTCTCTCTTGCCAGTTATACCACAAGGTGAGTTCCTTTTTATTTCCTGCTTCTTCACACACATGCTCTCCAGTACAGGTTAGCTCTGAGTGTTAGCGATGCTAATGTAAACATGCACCGACCATATTACGTCCAAAACAGTCGGGCATTGTTTCTGATAGCAACGTTTCTGATAGAGCCGTGGGTCCACATTTCCGATATTACGTCATATCGGACGCAAATCTGGATCAGCTCCGTTGTAGCCCCAATTTTAGAGATTTGGGTACGGAGGAAAAGAGAGAGGGTTTTATTTTCTGACGCTGCGTGAGTTCCCCGACACACCGGGGACACATGTTTATGTATAAAAGACATCAAAAAGTGCATTTTGCATGATAGGTCCCCTTTAAATTAAATCTCAGTCACAGCTGCTTACAACCAATACAGTAACATGAAACCAAATACACAATGAAAAGTCAACACAACAATCTACCATCAGCTAAACAGGTTACCTGACATCTTCATACTGTCTAATTACGCTTTCTTTATACATTTTCTTAAACCTAAAGATGTTCATACAGCCCTTTAACTCATTTGGTAAAGACATCCACAGTTTAACGCCAACTACAGAGATACACATCTGCTTAAAAGTGCAAACAGATGCTTGAAGTTACTTTTCCTTCTATGTTGCTCATCCTCTGAATTTAAAACAACAACAACTAAAGAGGAAACTAAAAACTCTTCTTAAGTAAAAGCAATAGAATGAAAGTACCTGTATTTTGGATCAATGGCAGCTTCAAAATAAATCAAACAGGTATTCTCTAACTAGTCTGTTGAATATCATATTTTCCAAGTTTATGATAAAAACACCTTTTGCAACTTCCAATAAACGGGTTTGGTTGGTTTTCATTCCCTTGCGCAACACTTTTCTAATTAGATTTCAATGGTGCATCTGACTTCATCTATGAGGTCAACAACAGTGTCAGTGTTATCAAAAGTATGCACTACGCAGCTCCGAAGTGCAGAGGAGGGTCTCTGTGCAGATGTTGTTGAGACAGACACAGGGTGGAGATAAGGCTGTTGCTCAATATGCAACATAAGGTCAATTATATAGTGGGATAATACTGAACATGGAAGTGAATCTATATAAATACTTCCTTGTAACTTCACCACTGTCATTGGCAATGTCTCTGTTTACCCACTACACTGTAGTACTGACACTTTTTAAGAGATTATGTGAGAGAACATTGGATAAATAATGAAAATGAAAGCAGCAGAGAGATCTTGATAGGAATGTTTGATGTGTATTCTTTGATAGGAATCAAAGAATACACATCAAAACACACAGGATCACACACACTTACACCCATGATACAGCATGATATAACATATTTTCAAGATGTCATAGGCATGTTAACAGAGGTGGAAGAAGTACTCAGATTGTGTACTTTAGTAAAAGTAGAAGTACTCAGATCTTGTACTTGAGTAAAAGTAGAAGTACCAGAGTGTAGGAATACTCAGTTACAGTAAAAGTCCTGCATTCAAAATGTTACTCAAGTAAAAGTAGAAAAGTATTATCATCAAAATATAGTTAAAGTAGCGACAGTAAAAGTAGTCATTGTGCAGATTGGTCCATTTCAGAATAATATATATGATATGTTTTTGTTTGTTTGTTTGTAGCCTTTATTTAACCAGGTTAAAAATCCCATTGAGATCAACGATCTCTTTTTCAAGGGAGACATGCGGTACATTGGTTACACATAAAAACAACAGAAAACAAAAAGGACATCACAACATAATTACAGGGGTATAAATTAGCAACCTATTCACAGTGACAGGTATCTAATAACATTTCATCCAGCCGCGCTTTAAAATGATGCAAGGGAATCAAAATGCTCAGTTTAAAAAAAAATTGCATAGTGTTCCAAGCTAGAGGAGCAGCGCACATAAAAGCTTTAGTACCTAAAACAGTCCTAGCACTTGGCACATGTAATAAAAACACATCCTGAGATCTCAGGCAATAGCTACTTGCCACTCTCCGTGAGATCAAAGAGCAGATATAAGTCAGTAGTTTACCCAGCATGGCTTTATAGATGAATATGTACCAATGACTGAGCCTCCGACCAGTAAGTGAAGGCAGACCTGCCCTGGCATACAGGGTACAGTGATGAGTAAGTACTTTACAGTTAGTAACAAATCTCAGAGCACTGTGACAGGCAGCATCTAACCTTTCCAGGCAATGGGCAGGTGCATTCATATATATCAAATCACCATAGTCCAGCACAGGTAAAAAGGTCACAGTGACTAGCCTTTTTCTGGCTTCAAAAGAGAAACAGGACTTGTTTCTGAAAAAGAAACCTAGTCTAACCCTCAGCTTTTTAAGCAGATTAATGACCTGAAGTTTAAAAGTAAGACAATCATCAAGCCAGATACCAAGGTATTTATAACAGCTAACCACTTGGAGTACTTGTCCTTGCATAGTCACAATATCCAAAGCAGTCTCTGGAGTCTTTTTAGCTTTAGAAAAGAGCATTACCTTGGTTTTCTCAACATTTAAAAGAAGCTTAAGCTCAGCGAGCTGAGTCTGAATAATGTTAAAAACAGCCTGTAATTTAACAACCGCCTCCTTAATGGAGGGACCTGCACAGTACATCACGGTGTCATCCGCATAAAAATGTAAAGTAGCTTCATCCACATTTTCACCTAAACTATTGATGTAGATGGAGAATAAAAGTGGACCTAAAACAGAACCTTGAGGAACACCATTAGCAATGTTTAACCACTCAGAGGACAGCCCATCAAAGTGAACACATTGGGACCTTTCAGAGAGGTAGTTCACAAACCACCCCACTGCATGGCTGGATATGCCAATACTGAGTAGCCTCTGCTTTAAGATGCGATGATCGACGGTATCAAACGCTTTGGAAAGGTCAATAAATAGAGCTGCACAACTCTGCTTATTATCTAAAATACTCGCCACATCATTCACCACTTTCATTGTCGCAGTGATGGTGCTATGTTTCTTTCTGAAGCCTGACTGATGTTTAGACAGGATGTCATTTTTACATAAAAACTCCTTTACTTGTTCACTCACTAGGCGTTCGAGCAACTTCGCCAGAACTGACAATTTCGAGATTGGCCTATAGTTATTTAAAACAGTTGCCTCCCCTCCTTTTAGTAGTGGCAGGACATACGCTGACTTCCATACTTTTAGAATTGCATTTGTGCTGAGGGAGAGGTTAAAAAGAGAAGTGAGAGGTGGAGCAATAAAATCTGCAGCTATCTTTAAAAAGAAAG